TCCATGAAAATTAAAATGTATTGAAATATAAAGCTAATACCTTATTTTAAACTATTTCCTTTCTTTCTAATTCCTTAATTTGTTTCTAAAATATAATTGCATTATTTCTCTTCTACTCAAATTCCGTTAGTTACATTTTTCGATCTGCTAAAAACTCTTAAACTTCACATACAAATGTAGAGGAATTTAACTTTATTCTTCTGTACATTTGAACCACAGTTTTGTACCAAATATAAATTATTTCCCTTTAATTATATTTTCATAATTAGTGAAAATTCCATGAAACAGTTTTGTTCAACTATTAGTATTGAAGTATAAAATTAATAATTTTTGTATATATATGCCTTTATTTATTTTTATAAACGTTTTACAGTATTTCCCTTTTAATCGAAATCCTTTAGTTATTTCCTTAGATCTGCTAAAAACCCTCTCATACCTCTAAAGCTTTTAAAACACTTTTATTCGCTCTACAACTATTAAAACACCACAACATGTCTTCAAAGAGCTGAAACTTAACAAAGGACCCCCACCAAAATCTCTGGTCACTGTCATTCCCCTGGGGACATAGTTCATACCAAAGTTGTCCCTGTCCCGAAGCATCTGGCTACCGTTTTCTGTGTTAGATTTATATTGCATTTGATTTTGATTTTGATTTTTGTTTGCCAGTACTCGTAGCACTCGTTTGTGGTGTGTATGCATGCAACATGCCGTTCCGTTGCATTTGCCCCTGCCCTGGTACTCGCGTACGAGTATGCAAAATACATCTACAATATGGCCATTGTTATGATTTATGTGGCAGAAATATTTCAGGCGCGTTTCCTGCCAATGTTTGCCCTTTTACAAACGAGAGACCATGTGAGAGTCGCGTCGTGTCGTGGGGCGGAAAAAGAGTAATGGAGGGAGGAGTGGGGGAGGGCCACCGCGACTACAAAATATTTTGTTTAAGCCTGGCCAAATTCAATTTCAATTTGCACCCCATCAAAAGACAAACAAAAGTCTTTGAACTCTAGCCGTAAACATATATATTTGGGGGATATATTTTGGGATATTTTTTTCTTGGCAGTCCCCCAGTCTGGAAACCGGGGGACAGCATGTGGCGAGAGCAACTGTGACTTCGACTTTTCGTGTCAGTTGCAGCGGCAGAAACAGCAGCTTTTAGGGGCGTCCTGTCTGGGGGCCCTGTCGAAAGTGTTGTCGCCTTTCGCTGGGGTTTTCCCCATAAACAAATCTATGGGGAGGGTGGGTGCTGAAACTGTGAATCGTAATTGAATTTCATGTTTCTGCGCCTTCAACTCTTTGATGTTTAAAGGATCTGTTCAGTGCGGGTATCCCAATGGATATACAAGAAGAAAGCTGCTAAACTAAAGGCCAAGATTGTTGTACAAAAGTAGCCCTGGCGGCCGTGCAATTTATAAGCGGAAATGGCAATCGCCCACACACCGACACCGACACACGGCGTTCCCATGGCTGGACCCATTTGCCCGCCGCCCACTCAGGAAATGCAACTGTTGCCCGCCCTCACGTTTGAGTTTTGGATTGCATTGTACTCGTCTCTCCCCGCCCTCGCTGCAGGGGGAGGGGTTTTTTGTGTCCTGGTCACCAAGTGGCATGCGTTTCTAATTTCCTGACTGGCCCTCCCCTGTCATCCCCGGGCCACCGTTTGTCCTGGCATTTCGAAATTGCAACTCAGTCAAAATTATAAAACGAGATTTTTGGGGCTTACCCGGTTTTTAATGCGTGTTGCTGTGTGTGCCCTGCCAAATGAGACTTGCCTCAAGGGACTGCCCCTTTGCCCTTGTATTACGATTAATTGAATTTGCGATGGCATTGCGAGCCAACTGACTGACTGACAGACAGCCTGCCTGACGGACAGATACTCGTTTGAGAGGACAATGACTGCTGATGATGATGCATGAGGCTCTAGAATAGCAGATGGATATATACATGGTTTATTAAAGAAAACTACTGCTCCCACAGTTTAAATAGTATTTGCATATATGGAATAGGATCGTATACGTTATAGTGGTTGCTGATTTTGTATTTTTTAATTAAATATTTGCACAGTCATTCTGTTAGTCATTTCACCAATTTCAATCCAATATTTACCGAGTGATAAGGAAGTGAATTAAAGATCAAAATGTTGCCCCAATTGTTGTGCCTTTTTACTCTTTTGATCTGAACATTGCAGAAATCGTATGGGGATGGCTTTTGCGTATAGATTGTATATCTAAATCTATGTTAATCTTAATTAAAAAATAATAAAGAAGAAAAACCCTGACCCCCGACTAGGTGCACTTCAATTTAAATATGTGTTTATGAAAATAGTGGAAATATTAAAATGGTGTTTTCACCTATATTTTCACATTATTATGATAATATTTAATCTAAATATATTTCAAAAATAAAGTAAATATATTTAATATTAAAATAAAATATTTTTATATTTCAATTTAATAAATTTTCTGCAAGTGCACTATAATATTTTTATTCTAGCGTGTTTTTTATTTAGATTAAATATGAGCCCAACTAAAAATAATTTTTCATAGATTTAAATTTAAAAAAAAAAATTGAATTGTATTAAATCTTAAAATTAAATCATACAAATAATAATTAATGCAGCTCCTTTAAAAGAATTTTTCATATTTACACTTTCATTTTAAATAAATAAATAAACAAAATTCTCAAAATTAGGAAGTTAGGAAGTTTTCCATATACATTTTTTCCTTGATTTAAAAAATATAATTTGGTATTGCAAATCCATGACGCATGTCATTGATCGTCAGTTTAAAGACGATGGAAATGGAAAGAAATCTTCTGCAAAATGTAGTTTTCTTTTAGAATCCCATACCGATCTTAACTCAGCAAAGAACCCCTTTCACAGCATTAATCCTGGCGACTCAGCCGCTCACGATATGCTGCTGATCCCAAGAATTCAAGAGCCTGAAAATCCGTATAAAACGTAAGAGGGGGAAAGGCGTGGCGCACAATCAAGTTCATTGATTGCAATGGACAGCAATTACCGCAGAGGATTCGCCACTTTTTTTCGAATTAATTGACGCCTGCCGGCGGCCCGGACTTCTGTGGACTTTCAGTGCCGACCAAAAAATGTCAGCCAACAGACAATTAATCAATTTGCTGCTTAATTATGATGTTGAAGCCTGTAAAATCACGGAAAAAACAAACAACCAACAGAGCAATGAAGTAGTAACAGAAGTCAAAGGTTAATTACATTAAAAACGAGTGCTGAAAAGTGCCGAAAGTTTTCTTAAATTTCCCTCCTTAAAGGAGACCAGATTAAAATCCCATCAATTTGGAAATGGATACTAGGTTGGAAAAGTGTTTTTCATCTTGGTATCAGCCAGAGCCCGATGTCAGCTGCTGGAAGCAAAAGGCGACATGACAACTTAGGCGGGCTTCATGTTGCATTCAGCCAGCGGGGGCGTCAGCTGGCGCCACATATCACGATACTACAGGCGCCCCACCCCCAAGCCCCGACCAGTTATGCCCCCCTAACCCTCCAACGAAAACCCGTCTCTGAGCTCTGGCATTTTGCCTCATTCTGTATGCACTCAACGCATTAAGTGGCGACATGTGTTACACTGAAGACAGGCGACACTCATGGAGGCAGCCACATCAAGGCAAAACACATTCGTGCAGCAGCAGCACCAAAAAGAAAGCCCCATGTAGGCAGAAACGGGTGCAGGAGGCGTGTCCCTGGGGCTATGTTAGTGGGGTGTTAATAGAATCCATTTCGGTACTGGGCTGCATTCTAATGCATTCAGTGGACCATTCGGCTCCAAGGCAGGACATTAATCAACAGAAAATGAAACCAAAAACGCAAAAATTGAATGCCAATGAAATCAATTTCTTCTCGTTTCGTCCAGGAAAATTGTTTCAAATTTTGCTGCTGAATTTCTTGCTAATTAAGTGGCGTCATCGTCATGCCAACTGCAGGCCACAGCAGGACGGCAAATCATCAAATGAGAAATTAACTTCGAAATTGGAAACCGCACCAGCAGCAGCAGCAACAGTAGATGCCACAGAGATGGATCTCATGTCGAGTCTCATTGAGCCAGGGCTATAGGAAAATTTTAACTCCCCTTAGAGACAGCATTTCATCGCAATTCATTTATTAAACAGGAAAAACAGAAAAACAATTTGCTTTTGGCAGCAAAAGTCACGTAGGAAATGCATAAAAATTCCCTAAAAGAAAGTAAAGACCGGCCATGCATTTATGCAAAATGTAGGAGACATACGGGTACCATTGTATGGTACCTTCTTCCACTGTGCGTGTGCCACTAATTTAGAAGCGAAAGGAAAATGTTTTCCCTTTTTTCTTTTTTTGCGTCTTCCAGCACGCACCTCGTATAAAAGTTTTTCCCGTAGATGGCATTGCATGTCCAAAATAGTTGCCCAAGTTTGCTGCTTTGCATAATTTACAGGGCATGTACCTCGGAGCGATAAAAGGGAGACCCCAAGACCCGAAGACCCTGGTCTCCATCTTATCTCCATTTTATCAGCATTTTCATTTGAAACCATTTTCCAGGGCACCGCAAACAGGTGGGTGTGCTGAGGCGTATCCAATGACTAATTAAAAGGAAATTTCTATAGCACTTACAAATTTTGTCGATGCGGCTGCAGCTGTGGTCTGGCCATCCCCTGGATTGCATCATCCATCATCATCCACACAATTCTGCACTGTTAAATCATTAATTTTCCTGAGTCTCCACAACTATTTGGTTAACGAGAACGGTCTCATGTTTCCGCATGTTAGCATAATTTTGCTGTCGGTTTGAACCTTATGTCAAGGAATTGAAGCAGTTTTAGGGCCCTGAGTGGAGTGGAAAGGCCATGGCTGGAGGGTTATAAAAATTGCACAGAAAAGACCTCAGCAGAGGAGTCTGACAGGCACAGAAAATCTCAGAGAACAGAGCCGTTTCATGAAAATATGAGAGAACCTATTGCCTTGAGTTTTCTTTCAGGGCAAACCTATTCCAAAATCCAATTCATATTCCATTCGAAACCAGGCAGCCAGTTGAAGAAAAACGCCAACAAGCAACAGCATCCGAGAAAATGTCACACAATTTTGGGTCAAAAGGAGGTTCGTAAACGAAATTTTAAATCAAAATCGATGGAATGTCCATCAGTAAGTAATTCCATCTGATTCCAGCTTTTGATGGCTTTGGCAAGCAATCACCATATTGCCAGATTGGGATTGGTGCGGGAACTGGTCTGGTCATCGGATACGTTTTCTTCAAGGCCAGTAAGTCCGTGGCCATTGCAGCAGGAGCATCGATACTGATTGTGCAGCTGGCAATGGAATCTGGATTGGTGAATTTCGAAGTCGAAACGATCGTGATGCACGGGCACCAACTCAATCCAAATAATATCCATGTGATGCCAAGCATTGCCTCTTCACATTCTTGGGAGGCGATAAAAGAGCAGCTGACAAAGGCCCGTGATTTTTTGGCTGGAAGTCAACGCTTGTGCGTTGCCATGCTCGGGGGCTTCTTGGTGGGGTTTGGACTGGCCTAAGCATAATTTAATATTGTATTTTTTTTTTTTAATTGTTTAAATTGAAGTATAAACCAGGGAAATGTAGGCAAAATCCTCGAAAATATTATGGAGTATTCTTTAAAGCATTCTTTTGGTTTTGGTTCTCAGATATCTGTCAGTTATATGGCTTCCATCTGCATCTAAATTAATGCTCCGAAACAGACAAACCATTTAACTCGACACGGACCACCCTGTGGCGCGCCCTGTGGCAGCCACAAAGCTGCGTTCCTCACTTGCAACTAACAACGTGGTTCTCCCTCTTCAACTCTCGCCCTGTCTCCTATGGCTCACCGCAGTTAATTTGTTGTACTGGTCCGCACAAACAAATACTCGTACTCGTGTCCGTTCTCGCAAAACAGCAAATGGGAGTGCATCTCGTTTGCTTTGAGCCAACTCTGAGCTAAACTCTTTATCCACTGACGGACACTGGGGCCCTGGTCACTGACTGTTTTCAAATTTACAACATGTCAACAGGCATCAGGCATCCAGCATCGGGTTCCACAGATTCTCCATGTGCTGTTTCCATTGCGCTCTCAGCACATTAAACATATGGTCGAAAGGGGTCGGGATGGTGGCGTTTAGAATTGTTTGAATAAGTATTACGCATACGCACACGTTGACTTTCTTTGCTGTGTGTATTTTTGTAGGGAAAAGTACATACGAAAACCCTAAAACTCAATTTGCCAGCATGCAATCATGTAAAACTTAACGCACAATTGACTCCACCAAAGGAAGTGGAAGCATTTTGCAGTTGTGGAAAGTACAGTTGTGCTTGCTCTGGAAATGATGTTGCAATATAAATTATTCACGAATAATGTTGTGGTCGAAGATGTATTGTGCTTTGAGCAAAGATTGAAACTATTCTGGGTTTCGAAAAAGGCATTAAATCTTTTGACTGAAAATTTATAAGAAATCTACAGTTTTTGGAAAATTTCTAGTTTTAAGGGCTATTTTAATTCTGTCCGAGTCTCCAAGTAACTATTCTTTTTTTGTATTTTTAAATTTTGTTCTCTTCTTTTGTTTTATTTATTATGTTTTATATATCCCTATTCATTAAGTTGTTTGGCTTGGATTTTTTATTCTTTTAAGCTTTAATTTAAGTTTTTCAAACCTTTAATAAATATATTTTATTTTCTACTTTTTTTTATTTTATTTGATTTAATAGGTCTTAGTCTAATTTTAGTTTTTAAATTTTTTATTTATTCATTAGAACTTAATATTAATATTATTAAGTTTTTAAAACTACAGTTTTGTGGCACTTTTTATTATTTCTTATCGCTTGGTATTTTTAAATTCTTAATTTTTATAATTTTTTACATTTTTTTATATCATCTTTAATTTTTAAATATGTCTAATTTATATTTTTTATTTACTTATTTACTATGTGTACAATTTTGCTTAGTATAGAATATAGAATTTGCAGTTATTCTAAGAGAGTTTTTATACCTACATTTTGGCATAACTTCTTCCTACATTCAGAATTCCTTTAAATATATTTTAAAAATCTCTATCTAAAGCCTTACATCCACTGAAAATATGAATATTAAATCCCTCATAGCAAAGTACAGTTGTGTGCAATAACTTGTCGATAGCAGGGAAGTTTCACCTTTTTTCATGGCCACATAATCGTAATGCCTTCAAGAATAACCCATCATTTGGGCTGATCTGAAAAACTCTTCAACTTTTGCATACAAAATGGAAATCCTCCACAGAACTCACGTATTGTAAGTATACAGAAAAACACCTACATTAAACTATAGCCATAAAAAATCAAAGTAAAAAAAGAATAAAACGGGTAAAAGAATTGTGGGGAAAGTAAAGTAAAGGAAATTTCCTCGGGCAAAAGATTTTACCGCATGGCAAACACGTTTCGCATTGAAACGTTACGTTACTTCGAGGATTCGTCGTGTGTGTGGGTGTGTCTGAGGGGGTTGTGAGGGGGAATGTGGGGTGTTCTTGAGCTCTACGTTTTATGGTCAAGTTGCAAGTTACTGTTTCATTTATATTTCATGTGTGGGTGTGTGGTCTTTGTTTTCCAGCAGAACGAGTATCAGACAGTTTTCACATTTTACTTTTCCTATTAATGTCAATTTAAATGTTGAAACACTTTAGTTTTCCTTTTTGCTTTGTTTTTTCTTTTGTGCCAAAGAATCTCCAATGGGGCCCGGGTCTGAGGTTGAGATATTGTTCTGGACAAAAGCACTTAAAGCACTGCATTACTCGCCCGGCTAGATTATCGGTAGGAAAAATAGTTGAATGCCCCATGCTACCCGTTACCTCTGCATTTCCCGCAGTCATTTGTGGCAATTTGCGTGCTCATTGTTAATTTGATTTTCAGTTTGCGATAAGCGTCGGGGGAAAACACCTCGAAAACGAGAGGGAGATAGGGAGAGAGCGAGAGAGAGAGCTCTACTCTGAAGTCCTTTGCTATTTGGAGAGGCTAGGGCGTGGCCTGGCCGCATAATTGAACGATAAATTAAATAAAAGCCCGTGGAAAAAAGCCCCAAAAATCGAAATGCATTCAAGCGTAGTTTTTCCAATTGAACTGTTCAAATGGAACTAGAACTGCAGAAGTGCACTTTTTGAGTGTTTGAAACACTCCGAAAACCTCCTTTGAATCGAGTCTTTCCTTCATGAAAATTCTTTTGAAAACCTTCATATTGTACAGATTAATTAGGAACCATTCAAATAAAATATTTATGCAACAAATTCCAAGAAAGTCAATATTTCAATTATGCATTCGCAATTATTATTTTGATATTTCACATAAAATAACTCTGGAAGCTGGCTAGTTTCGAAATGCGTTAGAAATCAATTTTACTGTGGAATTCGTTCATCAATAATTGAATATTTGTCTACCTGAGGCATTCGAAAATTAATTAAAACAAAAGCAAATAGCAATCCCTCTGAAAATGCCACCAAAAATATTGTTGGTTAATTGTTAGGCGGGAAAATTCACATGACTTTTTCAGACAATTTAAAATCGTTTAATGGTTTTTCATTAATTTAAGCCTCGTCAAATATTTAAGTCTGGCAATTTGACAAAAAAAACACACACACACAGTGCTAACTCTTGCATGGGCCAAGGCCTGGGCATGGGCATGGGCCTTTGATGTTCTGTCGGCACGGTCTGGCGGTCATTTTCACAGTTGAGCGGAAGCTGAGAGTGTGAGAAGTGCATAGAGGAAGAGAGGAGTATGAAAAGTGCATAGAAGAGACTCCCACCAGGACACACCGCTTTCGGGCAAATATCAAAAGGTAATGCTTTGAATTTCCCTTCACGGGAAATCCATTTCATATTTTATTCGTCATAAGTTAACCCAATCGAAAAAAAAAACAAAAAGCATTAAATTCCGAGAAAATGTCTAACAGTATTCTGACAAAAGATGGTTCGTAAACAAAATTCAAAATCAAAATCAATAGAATGCCCATCAGTAACTGTCTGAATTCTGCTCTTGAAGGCTTCAGCAGGCTGTCACCGTACACCCAGATTGCCATAGGCGCTGGCACGGGTTTCGTCACGGGATATGTGCTGCTCAAGGCCAGCCAGACCGTGGCCGTTGTGGCAGGAGCATCGATCCTGGTTGCTCAGCTGGCCATCCAGGCGGGAGTGATAAAAACAAGCTCCGTGGAAACGATCGTGCCGCAAAGGAACCAATCCAACCAAGGACGTGCCGTCCGTGTGCTGCCAACCGTCCCCAATCCTCAGTCCTCGGAGGCGAGAATGGAACAGTTGACAAAGGTCTATGAAATAGTGGCTGGGAGTAGCCGGCTGTTCGTGGCCATGTTCGGCGGCTTCTTGGTGGGTTTTGGCCTGGCCTAGATCCAAATTTATAATATATTCACACATATAAACCCCTCTGTAAATACATTATACTATTTTACAGTGTTTAAATTAAAGTATGTTAATTTTATTCCGCCTTTTGATTATAATCCCTCTGAAATGCAGTGAAACTTTCCATAACAAAGGCCTTGAACATTTATAGAAATGCTCTTAACAAATAGGCGGCTCACACACACACGCAGATTAAAAAGTTTTTTTCATTCTCGCAAAAACTTGAAAGTTGTAACAACATTTTCATGCGCTTTTAAGCATTTCAATTTTTACCCAGTCACCGCAGAGAGAGAGAGAAAGAGAGAGAGAGAGGGTGAAAATTTATGCATAAGCAAAAGTTTTTTGTAAAACCAAGGCAATACCTTACAAGCAGGATCACATTTCCATGAATAAGAACCCACGAGAGAAGTACCTCCCTCCATTCCTCCATGCTCTTCTGTTAGCACTAATTTCTCATTTTATTGCTAATATCGATCAAATTCATTTGATAAATATTCATTTATTGCATTAGCTTCTCGGCCAGAATAGGAATGCCTGACCGTCACGTTTGGACAACTATTTGACATGTGGCCGGTGGTAGTCGCATTTTTATCTGTTTTCTTGCATCCTGCATCCTGCATCCTATGCGGAACATGTGTGCAGAACCAGAAATAACGCAAAACCAATTTAAATCGAAACCGAAACTCTGAAAAATTCTGAACCCACACACACATCCGCAATCGGGCACGTACCGTATGCGGGGGAACACATGTCGTATGAGCAATAAAATTTGCATTTCCAAAAAGCCACACACAATTTTTGTGATATTTTTTCCTTTTTTCGCATTGGAAATCGAATTTAAAAGTCTGAAATGGAAAATTACCACTGGAAAAGCTAGTTTAATTTGACATTTTGATTATGCAAATAATAGATAATCCCAATTGCGGACGGGGTCTTGAATTAATTGAAAGAGCTACTCCTCTGGTGGTCCGGCCAGTCGGAAGATAAATGAAGTCGAAAGTTTGCCTTGTGATTAGCATTTGATTTCGATTGCAGGAGCGTGGCGGAATAGGGGAGTGGGGCAGTGGCAAGTGAAGGAGTGCAGCAGTGGCAAGTTTTTCGAATGAGGTCGAAAGTAGGAGCTGCTAATGGAAAGAGTTTGGGAGTCAATTAATTCCAGCTGCTAATTGGTTTGCTAATTGGCAGAGGTTTTATTTTCCCTCTAAAAATAAGGACCAATATACGGCTAAATATTTCGTAAATCGCCTTTTTTGATGTGAAAATGATGCACCGCAAATCAATTTCCAACAAAGGACCTTCCATAATTGTTTATGCAACAAAGTAAACCAAAACCAAAAACCGAAATGCAACCAAACTCCACACGGAATATGATTACTCGTATTGTAAGCACTTTGAATACAATTTGTGTAATATGTCTAACAATGTGAGCCGACAACTAAAACCGCAAATAGCGTTTTGAAGGGCTGGAAATTATTTAATTAAATTGTTTGCCTCAAAAGTCAGCAGGCCAGGGCATTTAATTGCTGATACTCGTATCCTGGGCAATAACTCGATTAAATCATGTAGAGCTCAAAAGTTTTCCCAGCTCCAACTCCGAACACCCGTATCCGAACTGAAACTTCAAAGGTTTTTGCAAATGCTGCCTGCCTGCCTGCCTGCCTGCCTGCCTGCCTGCCTGCTCTGTTGCTGCTCATTAAATTTTCATGCTTGCCTGCAGTCCAAGGTAAAATACGAGCATCGGCATTGCAATGGCACCTCGTCTCGCATCGCACAATGCCCTCTCCACTCTCCATCGTTTCCCATTTCCACGCTTTTCTTTTATTCTCCGCTCAGCCTCTTCATTTGCTGACTGCCTGCCGCCGCTTTTGTTGTATTTGTTTGTTAACACGGTGGGGGGGGGAGAAACGTGGCCAGAAAAAGAAAACACAAAAAGCGGAACTTCAGGCCAAAGCCATTCTCTATCTTACAGGATTTGACCCATGGCGGAGACAGAAAACAACACAACGAAACTATTAAAGTGGAAAAGCACTTAAATTTAAATAATAAATAATAAAATGGGATTCTTTTTAAGGTGGAAATTTAATGAAAACAGTGGACAGCGAAATGAAAATAGATGGCTTTGTGGGGAGTTGTATTTAATTTGGGGGGATTTTAATGTCTAGCAGATCTGCATAAACAATTTACGTTTTTTAGCTCGTAGGAAAGGAAGGACAGTGGGACTCTATTTCTTCCAAATTATTGCCATATGAATGTTTTGGAAGGCCAGAACAAAGAAAAAATTATGAAATTGGGAAAAGGCTGTAATGAGAATTATTAGAATTAGAGTTACATAGATTTATGTAGATCTTCGATTCCATTCTCCGCTGCATTGGTTGCCTCGAATATAACATTTGTATACTGTTTGTTGTTCATATGTGTATACGAAGTATTCAGTGTATCAAGTTATTATATCTAAAATCCGCTATTTTTTTTGTTATAAGTCCGCGGAGGTATTTTAAAAATTTTGTTTAGATAGTTCAATTAGCTGGAGAGTTTTTGAGGATCAACTTTTATCACGAATGAAATCTCTTATAGAAGATAATAGTTAACCAAAGAAAAAACTATAACAATAATAATAAATAGCGTATAAGTGAACATTTGCTAAATTTTAAATAACTACTTAGGTTTTTTTTTAATTTAATAAATAAAGAAAATAATATCGAGACAAAAGGATATGGAAATCTGTTTTTATTGAGTCTTAATTTTTTTTTATCGTAGTTGAAATTTTGGCGGAATGCACATATATCAATAAGGATAATGACAAGAAAGATCCGCTGTTGAGTAAAGTCCAGTTTTTCCATATGATTAAAGCGTGCATTTCGAGAGAGAAACGAGAATAAAAGAGGGTAGGAATGGCAAGAAATTATACAAGGTTATCCGCTAACTCTCTTTAGAGTGTTACTTTACGCTCAGCACTACTGAGAGCGCTTTGACGGCATATTTGATGAGAGAGAGAAGAACGAAGTTTGCTGTTGTGCTGAGCAAAATAATACCCGTAAAGGGAGCACATCGGGAAGCGGACCACCTTATATAATTTCATCATCTGCAATTGCGCTCGAGTATCGAAAATTGTGCATGCATATGCATATGCGTTCATTTGAATTTGACCTTCAATCAACCTCCAAGCTTTATTCTCTTCGGCTAGCCGGGCGCGCTTTCGCAGACGTTTTCTTTTCGTTGTGTTCTCGCACACTTTTCTATACATATACATATGTACGTTCGAGTCAACAGCATCCACATGACAATAGCAACTAGCGATTCAGAGAACAGTAAAATGAAACAATAAAAAATGACGGTACCTACTCAAGTGCATGGCAGTGTACCACAAATGCCAAAGTCGGAGCAAGTCTGCGGTCTCTCCGTCACTCCATACACCCATATATGTACATACATATGAATGTATATGTATGCATGGTTTAAGCTTATCTAAACAACTGCCGAACCCAAAATCAACTGCCGGCTTAGGCATGCCATCAGACACCAACATCATCAGTCATATCAATATCGAATCGGTAACCACACATAATTTAATTTATATTTACACCAAACTGAACTTGAATGGAAGCCCATTTACCGTGAGAGTGAGACAAACTGAACAAAAACAACCACAGGTTCCCTGACGAGAGGGGAAAATTCTGGAAAATTGATTGATAGTTTTGATGGCGGTGAGCAGAGAGCAGAAATCAGAATGCGGAAAGCGGTAGCTACAGCTGGGAGCGGAGCTGTTGCTGCCGCTGCTATGACAACCCATCGTTTCATCGTTGCCTCATTGTTGCCACACACTCTCGTTGATTGTGCGCTCGGTTGGATTAATTTAATGAAGTTATTAAAACCATACCCATCGCTCGGAAAAGGTTTTACCCAATCGCTCCGTATTTCGGGCAACATTTTCCCCACAATTAAAGGAGCCCCTAAGCTGGGGGCGGTGTATATCCTTCGAGTGTAATTTTCTGGCCTGGTCACTTACTGGCGGATGTAATTTCCCACTCAAATTGGCTCTGACTCATGGCCCTTTCCTATAAATCTAAACCCAAAGCGGGCGTGGCAGAACTTACTATCAGGAATACCCCATCTGTCTGATTGTCTACTCTCTCTCTCTCTCTCTCTGTCTCTGTCTCTGTCTCTGCGTGTCTGCCTGTCTGTTTGTCTGTCTGTCCGCCTCCGTCTGAGGAGGGCATTACGTGCAAATAGTTACGTGAAATTATTTCCGGAATCGGTAACAAATATCACTTTGTTTGAGTTTCTGCTCGCAATGAAGTTGCACTAAAGTTAGTTTCAAGTTAGCTCCACACACATGCAATTTTTTGCTGCTTTTGTGGCCAAAAAAAAGACTTTAAAGTAAGTTGTTACGACTTTGAGGTATGGCAGGGCCAAAACTGTTAAAGTTTTCTCCGCCCCAGGCCTCAAAGGGATGTCGTAGGTTGCATTTGAAACCCCCCCCAAAAACCCCTTTTCTGAATGCCTTCTACCAGTATTTCTACGGTAGCTGACTCTCAAACTGTCGCCATAAATGTTAATTAAATTAAAACGCTAATAGGCGTGAAATATGATAACACACAGAGACACCAGTTCTATCACAGAAACGAGAGCCCAAGAGACCCCCAAAGCGAGGGAGACAGTGAGAAGGAGGGAATCAGGAAGGTAAAGACCATGACAGGTGGCAAAAACAAGGAAGTACCATTATGATGAAAAGCTCGACTAAGAACATACCATACTTTCTGGAGAAGAGCCCTTTTCTTTATTAAACAATTATACAAAAAAAATAAAAAAAACACAGTAAAAATAATAATTATATACATATGTAGGTACTATAATATAGTATGTTATAATTAAATACAAATTGCATAATAAATTAAATAAATTACTGGTATAATAAAATAAAAAAAAACAAGTTCTTATAAAAATAATAATAATAAATATTACAAAATTTAATATTATAAAATTTCGTATATAAAATAATATTAAATTACACTTACAATAACGAAAGCTCTGTAATATTATATGGAACAAAATTGAAATAATAGTGGTAATGTTTAAGTA